AACACTGGAAACCCATCTGGGGGCTGACAACTACAGCAACAGGCGTAATTTACTTAATTAATGACCGTCACTTATTTTTTGTTCCAAATTATCAACTTAAATACCAGTGCCATGACACAAGATCAAAAGATGGTAATTGCTAAGTAACACTGTCAGCGTAAATGTGCTCTAACACTTTCCTGGGAATATGGTAAGAACTACTAAGTAAAATATATTCACTTATTAATTGAAAACAGCATCTGAATATCAAAACATTAATAACATTTAAATTTGTTTTATGAATTATTTACCAAAAAAAGAACTTTATTCCTACAGATACTATTATCCATTGTTCTTCTCATCCCAGTCTGTACCCACACACATTCCACAGTTAGTGGAGATTAACACATGAACGTCTTTCTTCTGCTTCAATTGATCTTGGGGACTTCACTGCAGAGGCTGCAAGCAAAATTATGCCAGCCAGTTGCTTACACAGTGCATTCTTACAGGAATAATTAAAATGCCAGTAATTATGCTATTTTCCTTTAGCTCACTAATGCTAAAAAGCATCAGGAATCAATTCTGGCAAAGCACCACATGAGACACACAGATTTAATGCTTAGAATTGTAGTTTGTTATTTAGCAATGAGAGAAGTTTGGGTTTGTTTTTTTTTTTTTTAAAAAAAAAAGTTTAAGGTGACTCATACTAAACAATGAAATGTCATGTGGTACCAAATAAAGTGTCTTAGGTTAGAACCTAATGCAAAAATAGACCACATACTTCAAATACACAAGCCAAAGGGTCATTTCCAAGTGATGCTTTGTAACTGTTTTTGATACATACTTACATATAGCGCAGCTTATAGTGTTTTAGTCATGTAACTAAACACGTTCCATGTTAATAAAATGTTAAATGTTGGTGAAGGGACATTAGTTTACAAGGTTTTGTAGCTGTTTCCATGGATATGCCATGGAAAAGTTTAACACAACATTTCAAAATAAACAAGTGATCTTTTTGGTGCATGCACTGCAAAAACTGCTTAAGCTACAAATAGCAAGTGAGAAATAACAGGCATTATTTTAATCAGTAAATGAAACTCACGGTAGAAAATTATTCAATAAAATACTTTTATTTATGTACATAGTGTAAAGATGCTGTAAAATTCAACAAACATTATGTTGTACAAGAGCAGACTTGAATTTGCTTAACACTTCTAAATTCACTTTAAGTGGGAGTCTCCCTGAGGTTGAGGAAGGTGTCTTATGTCTGTACGTGACATCAACATTCAACCAGTGTCATCAGGAAAAGGCAAAAAAACCTGAAAGATTTGGACATGGGTATTTAGTGTAAGAATGGCCCGACAGTACATGCTGAAAACTGTGAGACAAAGACATCACCATGGTAATGTGACTGCAGCAAGATCTTGACCAGTACTGCAAGTGAGAGTAAATCTGATAGAAAAATGGGTGGGTGGGAGGGGAAACTATGACAGGTTCTGGAAAAAACATGACAGGACACAAATGGAGGCAAACACACCCTGTGATTTAGGAACACGGTACGAAGACAGTAAGAACCAGATGCCTGGCCAGGGTGTCTTAGATCAGATATTTTCTTTTAAAAAAACAAAACAAAACAAAAAACCCAACACCCCGTAATAGTTTGTTGTTTGTTTTGGGTTTGTTTTGTTTAAAGGAAAAAGAAAAAGCTTCAGCCAGAAAGGTGACACCAACAGCACTCCTTGAATAAGCTTGTCCAACAAGGAAGCAGGATGAAGCCTCTAAGTCACCTAGGCAACAAAAAAAATTCACCCAGAAACATATTATGCAAGTTTTCCGAATCAGGCAGCAGCACACACTGTCACCTGACCCAGCCACTACTGGAGGAGACTGAATTTTTCTGCACCGTACTGTGGATGAGGCCTTGTAAGAGAGGCCCAACAGGACTGCGATTAGTTTCACATTAACAAAATTTATTATAAACAAACTATGGCTACTCTACCTTTGGGTTGAAGAGCAGCTCTTAGTTACCAGAGTAATTGGAGACAAAAAGCTTCAGACAACTTTTTCAGTCTTGTTTCAGAGCAATGAGACAGTCATCCACAATCGTAAAGCACAATATCCTCTTGCAGGGAGCAGTCAAAAGGCAGTGAAGAAAACACTTGAGTATAACCAAAAAAAAAAAGAGGCTCTGTGTAACAAAACTGGTAACTCCAACTCTGGGCCATCAGGATGAAGAAGAAAGGTTGTCTGTATTTTTACAGCCTGTTGTATTTCTAGCTAGACTGTAAAATCCCCTTGCTCCTCAAACCAACAGAAATAAAATGAGTGCTGTTATTTGCTTTATTGCATAGCTCTCTTGTTCTAGAAGGTCTAGCAGTGTTCAGGTTAACAGGTACTCTTAGGTATTATTAATTATATAGTTAAGACATGCAAAAGGTTTTCAAGATATGCTATAACAATCTGTGTGGAAAAACTCACACTAAGATGCATACTAAAAACATTGCCTTATGATAAAAAATACTTTTAATGAAAGATCTAAAATCCACTTAATAATATTACACAAATTATTAATACAGAATACTTAACTTTAGAAGTCTGGTGCAACTGACATAACTATCCACCTGTCTGCTTGGACCACAGCTAATCTCTTTTTCCAGCCCCAAATTCACTACTAACCCCAATCTCCATATTCTTTTATTTGAGCACATAGAAACTTCACCTCCTTTAGCTGGCTACTGTAAAAATTACACACTTGGCCCAAACTTATTTCATAGAATCATTAAATCGTTTTGGTTGGAAAAGACCTTTAAGATCATCAAGTCCAACTGTAAACCTAACACTGCCAAGTCCAAATTTCTCTTCTGATGCTCCCTTTTCTGTTAGGATTCTTCAGAATTCAGCAGCTGGGATTTTTATAATTATTACCTTTTTTTGTCAAACCCAAACCTTTAAGAAAGCGCAGAGAACACTGTCATTTTGATATCTGGTGACTTATCCTCTGCCTTCCCCCTGGGAACTCCTGTAAGTGAGGTTTGGATTCTGCACGGTGTGCATTTGGATCACATATTTGGCTTCTCTTTCTGAGGAATTCATCCCTCTGCTTTCTTCTAAAGTACTTTCAGTACTACTCTCTCACACACAAGCCCTCAGGAGAGGTATGCTATTTCCAGCTTTAAAGAATCCCTTCTTCTATAGGATGGCGTCTAGATAGGCCACACTGTCAAAACACTGCAACCTCATTCTGGCCTGCTCAGAAATCAGAAGGTAGCACAAAATCTAGATTTTTCTCTATTGAATATCAGCAGGACAATAGATAGAGTTGCTGTGTAAAATTACTATGACCCTTTCAGGCTAGTTTTGAATGGGCAGTTTCAGATATTCACCACTTCACCACTATCAACAAGATCTGGCTCTACATTTGTGACCTAACAGTAAAGGGTTTCTTCTACCTTACAGAGCAGCTCTTCAAGTCTGTGCTCACAAAGAGTGCATTACAGAACACAGCAACCTGACCATTAGCTTCCTCCCTTCACTCAGAACAAGATCTAAGACATTCCCACTAAAAATTAATAAAATGGCATTGTTTACACCAAATGGTACTTCCCTTACACGTTTAAAACAGTATGCCCCATCAAAGATAGCATACAAAGCATCTAACACATGCCTTGATCGAAAAATTCTTCACAGCTTGGGCTTGCCCACTCTTATTACTTTAGAAAATAAATCTGTGTAGCAGTCACGTCACGCTATATGAGAAATATGGGCTTTCTATTGCACTAGTGCAGCACACCGTAACTAATTAATGTCTTTGTCATCCTCCTGCCACTAGGCGTCACTCCCCTCTATCGTGATCTTCATACCTTCATCGGCTGCCACAACAGCTCACCCAGGAGCCATCAGACCAACACCATTAGCAAGAGAACATCCACCACAGCTTGCCAAGCCCCTGTCCAAAAAGCAACCCCGTTCCTTCGGTCAAGGAAAGATTTAGTGATGTGGCAGATGAAGTGCAAAGGATTGTTAGTGTCACTTTGTATGTTCTTCCAAGTAAAATAAAAATACCAGAAGAACAACTGGACTCCTAAAGGAGGGGATACAGGCTTTCCTCCACATAGGAGATTCTAAAACCCTCTAGAACTATCAGAATTTCCAAAAATAAGAGGAACCATAACAGGAGCACTAGTGGAACTAACTGCATGATCGTTCATGTGGGACCTACCAAGAAAGTAACGTTAACAATCGATCAGCAGCCTTTTCAAGGATGAAACAAGAGTAAACGTTCTATCGTTGCCTCTTGTATTTCACCGATTTCAAGTCCAGAAGGGACCACTATGATTGCCTAGCTAGACCACCAGTATAATGAATGCCTGCATCCCCACATGCGTGTTTGTGGTGAGTATGAACTCCTCCCATACTGAGGGCAACCTGGAAACTACAACTCACTTTGACAGTGAACACTCAAATAATTATCTTCCTCTTCCCCAAGTTCAATTAAAAGAAAAAAAGAAAAAAAAAACAAACAACAAACCACTCAAAACCCAGTCATGACTGCATTCTACCACTGACTAATTCAGCCACTTGGAATGATTTAATGGCACACAGGAACTAGGTACCCTTGCATACCTAACTTTGGTCATAATTGATCTTAATAAACAACATAATTTCCAGTATCAGTATCTCCAATATATGTGAAACAGGATTCAAGCTTAACTTGATTCAAGACAAATTAACTGTAAAGCCACTTTGAAGCATTAGGAAAAAGGATACCATTAGAGAGCATGTCACTACTAAATCATGAAATACCGTCCAACCTGACAAAATTGTTGGTGTAATTCACAACTAAGAGGTTGAAGATCTTATGTGTATGCACATATGAAACACAAACAATGCTTTTAAATACTTCTGATGCATACAGAATACTACCAGCAAGGAATCACCGTGTTAATGAGCTTCTTGCAAAAGCTTCAAGTTCATGGGCAAAGAATTACTTTGCATTGAATTCTTCCTCTGCCGTTTCAGTGTTATATCCTCTTCTTCTGATGTGTTTCACCATTTAATTTCCCATTTTCCATGGCTTTATTTTCAAAGTTCCAGTCAGTTGGGCTGAGAAGTTGCTGCGTTTTTTTGTATGTCCAGTATGGGTTAAGTATTAGTGTAACAGCAAATAATCCCGAGAATAAAACAATAAAATGAAGAAGTCCAAGATTTTCCACCACAGAATTCCAATTGAAAATACACACCCACCACATGTGGTAGCTGAGAATCATGCGGCAGTGAAACAAGTGGATCATCACCCACTGGTTTGCCTTCCAGAAAAGGGTATTAGCGCAGCCAGCCTAGAAAAACAAGAACAGAAAGTATGCAGCAGTGAGATTGTTCCTTCAAGATAAGGCACTGAGGAACCTGTAGAACTAATGCAAATGTCCAGCTTTCACATACACACACTTTCAGGCACTTTTTCCATGTAGTGCTATGGTATTTGACATGCATATGGCATCCCAAACTCAGAATGAATCTATACCATCTCACTATCCACATGCACACAGCATCACACAGAAACCTATCTGGAGGACTATGGAAGTATCATCATGACAAAAGCAGGCATCATAATAACATGGACATCAATTAGAAGAATGCAGAAGGTTCCGCTTAAATTTCAGAATAAACTTCTTTACTGTGAGAGTAACAGAGCGCTGGAACAGGCTGCCCAGGGAGGTGGTGGAGTCTCCTTCTCTGGAGACATTCAAGACCTGCCTGGACGCCTTCCTGTGTGATCTCATTTAGGTTCCTGCTCCAGCAGGGGGATGGGACTAGATGATCCTTCGAGGTCCCTTCCAATCCCTGACATTCTGTGATTTACTGAAAAGCTATCTAGACAAACCACACATTACCTATAGACAAGTGAGATGCATGAAAACTGTGAAAAACATAATTTCAAAATTAACATGTCCTTACCTTTAGAAGCATCCAGGAAATGCAGGTTGAGGGAGTACTCATCTCCAGCAACATTCCCATCAAAGGCAGATAATGTCCAGATTTCACGTTAATTACTAGACCAGCCAAGCCACCAAAAGCAAGCAAGTGATGAACTACCAAGAACACATCAAACGTTCTAAATATAATGTTGGATATGTGAACAGCTACATTTTCAAGCAAGAAAAATCCAGCAGCTATTAAACAGTTAAACCAACTCCACTTTTGCTGTGAATACACTTTGTCAGCATGAAAAACAGGATCTACGAGCAAAGCCCATAAACCAGCAACACAACTCTGAAGTCCAAACACACCACGTGTGACTGCCATATTCCAAAACACCTTCTCCTTTGCATGCAAGGCACGATAAGTAGTACTTGTCCATGAAGACAACCAGTGAGACAGAAGAAATACTCCCAAGTAGATAAAAAAACCAGCAGCTAAAAATGCCAGACGAACTTCCCATAAGAGATAGTCCCAGTCAAAAACAGTCCCAAACACCGGACCATCATTTGCAGGATTCATTTCTTCTTTTTTACAGAGCAAAGCCTTGCAAGGGGTTTGACACTTCTCACCCACACTATAGTCTCCTTTATGCCTATTCAGCCTCTGCTATTATGCAAAACAGACACCATGAACTCTTCCATCTGGAACAAGGAGAAAAAAATTAAATTAATTTTAAAATCATCCATATACATCGCTTCCAAACCATAGAGAACTCACTTCCACTGCAGTTACAACTTCTGTTCTGTTGCCATTAGGCACAGTCATACCAAAGACAGAAAAACTTAATCAATGTGTTTAAGATTAAGAATTGGCCTACAAAACCTGTACTAGTACAAAGTAGTAATAATAATAACTGAAACAAAAGTTGAAGTGGGCAAAGTAAGAAGGCAAGAAAGAGGAAGAGAAATTACATAGGAAAGAGATGTAAGGATCATATCTCAAAACAAGACTTGCAATCAGTTTCTGAACATTAAACAACTTTCCAACAGAAAGCATATTTCAAAAATGCAAGAAGAGTATGGAATGCAGGCAAGCAACATTAATACGTATTATTAAAAACATTAGTGTAATTAAGTGAACAGCCCAGCAGCAAGTGCCTTAAGTTAGCTGAAACTTCCTGAACACACGGTGGTTCAAAGATCTGTGGGGAGGGAAGAGCCAGATAATACTGAAATATTTAAACGCCAGCTCTTTTTATGAACAATTTAGGGAATATCAGCATGATCACGAGACCCACCGCAACCCCTAAACGCTCAGAACCGCAATGCACCTGGGAGCGTGGTGGGAAGCTAGATGTAAAAGCCCCAGCGACCACCGAGTGCAGAGCCCCTGCGAGATGCTCCCGCCTCGCTTGGTCATGCAGCGATCGCCACCGCGCTTCCCAGACCCCGGAGGGACCTGCTCACCCTGCCCTTGGCTCGCAGATGCCCCCT